GTTTTTACATCTTCTTATCATCCGGTTGGATGTTTTTACATCTTGTCGTCTGGTTGGATGTTTTTCCATCTTATCCTCTGGTTAGATGTTTTTACATATTTTTGTCCTGTTGGATGGTTTTACATCTTCTTATCATCCAGTTGGATGTTTGTACATCTTGTTGTCCTGTTCCAAGTTTTTACATTTTCTTATCATCCGGTTGGATGTTTTTACATCTTGTCTTCTGGTTGGATGTTTTTCCATCTTTTCGTCTGGTTGGATGTTTTTACATCTTCTTATTGTCCTGTTGGATGTTTTTACATCTTGTCTTGTTGGATGTTTTTACATCTTCTTATCGTCTGGTTGAATGTTTTTACATCTTGTCTTGTTGGATGTTTTTACATCTTCTTATCGCCCAGTTGGATGTTTTTACATTTCATTGTCCTTTTTGATGTTTTAAAATTTTATTGTCCTGTTGGATGTTTTTACATCGTCTTATCATCCGGTTGGATGTTGTTACTTCTTATTGTCTGGTTGGATGTTTTTCCATCTTTTCATCTAGTTGGATGTTTTTACACCTTCTTATTGTTTTGTTGAATGTTTTTACATCTTCTTATTGTCCGGTTGGATGTTGTTTTTATATCTTATTGTGTAATTGGATGTTTTTACATCTTATCATCCGGTTGAATGTTTTTACGTCTTGTCGTCCTGTTGGATGTTTTTACATCTTCTTTTTGTCCCGTTGGATGTTTTTACATCTTCTTTTTGTCCCGTTGGATGTTTTTACATCTCTTTATCATATGATGGAATGATTTAACGTCTCATTATGTGGTTGGTTGCTTTTACATCTTCTTATCGTCTGGTTGGATGGTTTGGAATTTTCCTTTTGGTTATGTTGGATGTTTTTAATTTTTTTTTTTTTTTTTTGATAGTTCATTTTAGGCATTTCTAAACAAAAACAACAACTGAACAACTGTAGACTAGGAAATGCAACCAATAACATCATCAAACTTTAAGATCGATTTTTCTCCTTTGACCCGGCAGAATGTTCTAGAACTTTCCAACACTGCCAGCACCCTGCACAACAGCAGAGTTGGGTCTAAGGTGAACATCTCTCAGTTTTCAGGTGTCATTGGTTTGATCTTCTTTCTGGAGCTGACGGCGGCGGTTCTAGCTGTGGTGTTCCAGAGTCAGGTCAAAGCATGGATCAATGAGTTCTTCCTGCAGAACATCAGGGCGTACAGAGACGACATTGACCTGCAGAACATCATTGACTCTCTGCAGACCGGGGTAATCTGACAGACAGCAGAGAATCAAACAGAACCTCAAAATGACTGTTCTCCTCTTCAGACAGAACCTTTAACCAAGTGTTGGTTCTCCTCAACAGAACAAATGTTGCGGTGCTCAGGAACCAGATGACTGGAATCTGAATATTTACTTTAGCTGTAATGAAACTCGTCGCAGCAGAGAGTGGTGTGGCGTCCCCTTTTCCTGCTGCATACCTGATCCCGCAGTGAGTAAATCCTTGACAATGACCCGTGTTGATCAGCAATATTTGACATTGATTAAAACAGCTCATGGTTGTGGTTCTCCATTTAGGAATCTGTGATGAACACGCAGTGTGGCTACGATGTGAGAACGAAACGCCCGGTAAGCTCTCTTCATTTCGTTTATTCTCCTGGTGGTGATGGCAGAGAACATGTTCTGATGGGAACTTTGTTCCTGCAACAAAGTTAACTCTATCCAGTGTTTTACTGAGAACTTTGTTTACTCCTTTAAGAACGTTAACGTTATTGAATGACCTGATGAGAAGTTTTGTTCCTGAGTTAGTTCTTTGTTTTGATAAGAACTATGTTCTCCATTGTTTAAGAACTCTCTTCATATGAGAACATGAACTATTTCTGATCTTCCGATGGGAACTTTGTTCCTTTTGAGAATGTAAATGTTCTCCAGTGTTATGACAGAATATTTGTTCTCACAGGAACAGTCTAAAGGGAACAAAGAACATATTCTCTGATGTTCTGATAGAAATGGGATCTTTCTCCTTACCATGGCAGAGGTCACAGGTAGTTAAAAGGCTCCCCAGTGGCAGGGCACCAGGGCTGGACCAGTTTCGCCCTGAGATGTTGAAGGCTAAAGGGCCCTGGGTTTGATGCAGGCCGTACCTTCAGGGGACTTTTTACGTGTCTTTTTGAGTTCTATGTGTTAAATTTCAGACTTCTAAGTAAAAGTAGATCTTTGTTCTGCCACTATATGTGGTGCTGTTGAGCCAATGTGCCACGCCTATTCTTGAGATTCTTATAAAGATCAAAAATTCCATATACTTTTAAAGTGTTCACAAAGTTTTATGACACATGCAAAGAAAAAAAAAAGAAGAATGTCAGCTTAAGAATAATTATAAAAAAACTCAGCATTGCCTGTGGTGCTTGGACCTAAATAAAAAAATAATTCTTCCAGGTTAGACCACCGTAGAAAAGTGGTAAATATATTTATTTAGATATAAAGTATAATTTGGAGAGGATTTCAGCAGCTAATCAGCAGCTTTCAGCAGCTTGTACCAATACAGTACTCCAAGGTGGACTGTCCTCTTTGGACAGGATGTGGAGGTGAACTTGTAGAGACAACAGTATCTGGTTTGGGAACCTCAGGGTGTCAGCTCTGCTTTTTGCAGACGATGTGATACTGTTGTTGGGTGTCTTCAGGACATGACTTTCAGTGTGTGCTGGGGGGTTTCACAGCGAAGTCTAAAGCAGCTAGCATGAGCCCGTTTGCTGGGGGTAAGGTCTGGGTGTCCCTCCTGGACCTGTTGACTCTGTAACCCCACCACAGATAAGAAGAAGAAACTGAATGGATGGACGTTGTTCCTGTGAAAACATTAACATCTGATGTTCTGTGTTCTTTTACAGCAAGAGTGGGCGTCTCAAATCTACACCAAAGGTTGCATTGCGTCGTTGGAGGATTGGTTACCACAAAATCTGTACACCGTAGCTATTGTGTTCATCATCATCTCGGTACTGCAGGTAACTAAACCTTCACCTGTTCCTTATTTTACCAAATGGGAAGGTTCAGGTTTTGCTTATCTTGATAACAAGTTCAGTTTAAATGGAACCAGTTTAAGTCTAAATGTCAAATGGGTTCATTTCAAAGAAACTACAGGTTAATCTAAGGTCCTAGGCCAGCCCCTCTGGTTGTTAGATGTACCTGAGCTCACCTGTCTCTCTCTGTGTGTCTCTGACCAGATGGTGGGGATCTACCTGGCCAGAACTTTGATCGCTGACATCGAGAAAGTAAAATTAAGATACTGAGGTGTCCACCTACAGAGACGGAGCAGGACCAGGTGTTACAAGAGTGTTTCTATTGTCGGATGTGCCTTCTTCCTTACAGCATCAGTGTGGCCTTCCTGCAGCGGTTGCTATGACTACTGCCAAAGTTAGTGTTTTGTTTAATCAGCTGAAGAATGCCACCTTCTGTTAGTTTTGTTTATGTGGATACCTTCACTTCTTCTGCTGATGTTAAGGGCTTTATGTATTCCATTATTTACTGAACAATTATCTGTGACCTGTTTGATTATTACCTGAGCAGCAATTATTGATCCAACGTGACCCAATTTATTTTCTGATTAGCATATTATCGCTCTAATATAACCAAATCATTTCCTGATCATCATAGTTTTGCCTTTTATTTTCCGCCCCACACTGCTCAATATAAACTGAATTATTTCCTCATCAATGTTTAGTAAAATTTTAACCTTAAATGGGCCCGGGAGCAGGCGAGACCAGTTCTGGTTTGGGTTTAAACTGGGCTGCAGACTGAAACCACAGAAGAAGAATGAAGGTTGAAAAGGACCAATCAAACAACAGATCGATCAGGTCACATGATCACATGTTTAATGTGATTAAAACTACATCGACACTGGAAACACGTTCACATTGTTTAAATAAAGTTTTGTTTTAATGTATGAACATAGATTGTTTGATCAGAAACTTTTGTTTTCTTGATTATTGATCCAGGTTCAGTTAATGACTTTTATTGGGAAGGAACTGATTTTTTTTTTATTAAATAATTTTTTAAGTCTTTTTTATATTCAGAATATTAAACTTGAACTTTACTCTCGGGTCTCATGTTTGTTTTACTGTTCACTGATAAGTTATCGATCTCTGATTATTGATCAGTTTGATCAATTTAGCTCAGATCAGTCAGTGGATATTAACGAGTTATTGATCTCTGATTAGTTTGATCAGTTAATTTTCTCTGATCAGTGACTTTATCAGGTATTGATCTGTGATGATTTTATAGTGAAAGTTCAGAAGATCCAGCAGATCAACATTTTACGGTTTTAATGAAGTCTGAACTGATTTGTCTTTTGAACATTAAAGTAAACTGATGATAAATGATCGGCGTCAGAGGGACGCTCAGTTTGGACGGGTACACAGGACAGACAGTGGACACATTGGACATAAGATGGAAAACGTGGAGCTGCTAGTGAGGAGAAGAGGAAGACCTCCGATGGGGTTGGTGGATGTAGTGAAGGAGGACTGCAGAAGCTTGGTGTGATGCTGCAGAAGGAGCAGATGGACTGGAGTCTACAGAAGAAGAGGCTTTTGTCCGCCAGGCGGGGCTGCATTTCAGAGCTGCACTTGCCAGCCCTGAAACCTGACTTGCACAGTCCTGCTTCCTCTTGGTCTCACAACACTGAAACGGCGCTAGACAACACTTGCCAGCCATCTTGTGAGGTGCTACATGTATAATTGAACTCTATGTGTGGAAGCCTCACATGAACACTGCTGTCAGTTCAGAAGCATGTAGTGTAGAAGCTATTATAATTTTTTTATTTGACATAATCTGTTTACTGTAATTTAGGATTGTTTTTGTTGTAATAAATTGTAAAAATTGTTTTGTTAGTATTTGCTGCATTATTTGTTCAGGTCAGGTAGACTGAAGGATTATGTAAGCAGGTAAAGGAGCAGCATGCAATGGAGTGGGCCCATGTTTTTTTTTTTTTTTTTAAACCAGACCACAAGAAGCCGAAATAGTTTGTAACTTGCTGCAGTGGAATAAACCAGCCATCAAAGGAAATTTATTGGGTTTGGACAGTAGAGTTATTTTTTGCCTGCGTTAAAAAACAACCCTGGTGTGTTTGCAGCCTTTAATCTTTAATAATTTGAGTTTAAAAGAAATCGCTACTACACATAGAAATAGTCTTATTTGACCTAAATACAAAGGTCATGATTCCCAACCAGGTACGGGTGAGGAGCGTTTGCCTCTGGCAGAAGAATTCAAGCATCTGGGCATCTTGTTCACGAGTGATGGTAGGATGGATCGATAGATCTGAGCCTTTCTTCAGTATTTAGGGTGTTGTTTTGGTTGGTTGTGAAAAGATTAAGTTGAAAGACAAACCTCTGAATTTAATGACCTGACTCCTTTATAATCCTTATAGCCATGAGATACTGTTCTTGACTGAAAGAAAGAGATCATACAAGAAGCTGAAAGGAGCTTCCTTTGTAGGGTGGCCATGCTCAGCTAGAGATAACGTAAGAAGCTCCATCATCCAAGGGGAGCTTGGAGTAAAGCTGATGGTCCCCTCCTTCAAAAGGAGTTGAGGTTGTTCTGTTTTTTGGTTTATTTTTGGTCATCTCATTAGAATACCTTCTGGACACCTGAAGGTTTTCTGGGCATGTTCCACTGGGAAGAAGAGGTGGACTTAAAATTTGCTGTAGGGATTATGTCCTCTGTGGACAGGTAATGTCTTGGGATCCCCCAGGAGGAGCTAGAGTGTGTCGCTGGGGAGAAGGGTGACTTCTCTTCTGAACCTGTTGTCTTTACAACCTAGAAGATGGAGATGAAACTGAAGTAAATGATAGTTCTACATAATTACTGATGTTTCTGGAAGGCACTCATTACCATAAGTATTAAAGTGTTGTGGTGAAATCTTTGCACAGACCTTTTTTGATTTATCTGATATTTTTGACATTATACACAATAAAAAATGAAAAAAAAAAAGTCCCATTTTCTATTATCAAGGTTCAAAGTTCTTTACTGTCATTCATATCACATGTGGTACATGAGGTGGAATGAAATTGTGTACTCAAGGTCCCAGTTGCAACCAAAAATAGTAATAATATAAAGTATAAAAAAGAAACAGTATACAAGTATCTAAGATACACACTAAACAATTATAATGTAATACACTGCCTGGCCAAAAATAAAAGTCTCCACCGGGATTTAACTAAGCAAACAGGTACGAGCCTCCTATTGGATAATTACTGCATCTGATTATACTATATGCATACTGATTATCTTTCAGTTGGCAACAAGTTATTTAACCCCAACTGGTGCAATGAGTTGCTTCTCATTTCTTAAACAACCTTGTCGAAAGACACACCGCGTGGTCGTGGAAAAGATGCTAGTCTGTTAGAGAAGGGTAGAGAAGGGTCAAATCACTGACATGAAGCAGAAATTGTAGAAACTACAAGAATTGAGTTAAGAACTGTCCAACGCATTATTAAAAACTGGAAAGAAAGTGGGGCTCCATCGTCTTCGAGGAAGAAATGTGGTCTTAAAAAAATCCTGAATGATCGTGATCGGCAACTTAAACGTTTAGTGAAATCAAATGGAAGAAAAACAACAGTAGCGCTCAGAGCTATGTTTAATAGTGAAAGTAAGAGCATTTCCACAAGCACAATGTGAAGGGAACTCCAGGGATTGGGACTGAACAGCTGTGTAGCCTTAAGAAAACCACGAGGCTAACTGGAAAAAAAGGCTTCAATTTGCTAGGGAGCATAAAGATTGGACTCTAGAGCAATGGAAGAAGGTCATGTGGTCTGATGAGTCCAGATTTACCCTGTTCCAGAGTGATGGGTGCACCAGGGTAAGAAGAGAGGCAGGTGAAGTGATGCACCCATCATGCCTAGTCATCAATGCAAGATCTTAGTGAAAAATTAATGCAACACTGGATGGAAATAGATCTTGTGACATTGCAGAAGATTATGGAAACAATGGCACAGCGAATGCTCCTGTAATCAAAGCTAAAGGCGGTCCAACAAAATATTAGTGTGACCTTTTATTTTGGTGGCAATTTTTTTTGGGGCCAGGCAGTGTAATACGGTGTATTAAACAGCAGCCTGAACATGAGTTAAACTCAAACTTTACTATTTGTAAACTAATGTTATATATTCAAAGAATGTTCAATACAAAAACAACTGAACTTTATTTGTAACAGAAGAAGTTTTGCTCCTCATCTGAGGAAATACAAATAAAGTCCAGTTGTTTTTGTATTGAACGTTCTTTGAATTTATCATGTTGAATTTATCATGTCCTGGATGACAGAGAATCCTCACCAGTCTAATGTTATATAATACTCACTGATGAAACACAATGCCACATTTTAAGGTTTTTAACGTTTTAGAATGCTTATGAAATTTAAGGTAAAATATTGGTCTCGTGTAGTTCTTTTTTTTTACTCCGATATAGCGAGAGTCACACTTTCCAAGATGGCGGAACATAAACTCGTCCCGTTAACAGGGGCGTCCGGGCTAGCGTTTCAGTTTCATTAGGCTCCTCCCCTTCAGGCGGAGTCAAGCCCTCAGCTCGGTCTCTCTGGGTCGGTGCTTAACTTCCCTCTCCACTTCTGGATTCTCTGAATAATTTTCGGCCTCCGGCACGCGGCGGATCTTTGACCTCACGGACCCGGCCCGCAGCGCATTACAGACATTAGAGACGGTTCAGTTCTCTTCCCGCCCCCCCGGACAGAGGAAAAAACCCGGACCGAGGCCCGCAGTACGTGCTAAGCCGCCCGCAGGCCTCGGGCCCGGACTCCTGCGGTTCTCCAGGAATATGGACGGATTTACCGGCAGTTTAGGTGAGTTCCGACCGGAACCGAATCCCAAACCCCGAGTTTTACCTGCTCATTTGTCCACGCACTGACGGGAAACCGAGGGCCGCACGCACCTCGGATGGCTTTACACGTGTCACTGCTGTTTTTATCAAAGAGGCTGCACCGCCCATCCGGGAGCTGCAGGGCCACAAAATAAATTGCTGAAGCTGCAGAAGGTGCTGCACTGTCTTGGACCCGTTCTATGAACAGGACCAGAGCCTATCTGAGGCTCCAACAAGATACAGATCTGTCTAAATCCAACAGGACTCTGAGTCTGCACCGCCCCTCTTGAAGCGGCAGGACTGCAAAACAACCAGTTCGTCCTGCAAGAGGCGCTGCAGAGTCCTTAACCTGACTTGTAAATAGACCCAAGAGCGCGAGGATCCAACCAACAGGACTCTGCACCACCCACTAGTAAGCTGCAGGACACTAATGCAAAACTGCATGCTCCTGGAACTGGCCCATTAAAACCCCAGGCCCTCCTTAGACCCATGTCCTTCTCAGGGTCCTGCAGGACCCAGGCTCGTTTTAAGAGTCCCAACAGGTTTAAGCAGAATTTCCACAGACTGGTTCCTGTTCCAGAGGCTGACCCAACACTTCAAAAATATTTTTGTCACGTCATTAGTGTTTTTATGAAACTCCGAACTGCTAATGAGTACTTCAGTATTAGTGTATTGATCAGCTGATGTGTGACTGACCACAGGTGGATTCATACTTGGTGGGATGTAAAGAAATATGCTCTCACTGATGTAGTTATTCTATTCAGTTCAATTTATCCTGATGTGTGCTCAGTAAATCTGGTAGAAAAATCTTAAAGTTGAGCCAGGTTCTCAGGACGGGTTGAAAAATAAAAAATTTAAATCTTGTTAAAACGTTGCATCAAAAAAAACTTTGTCAAGTCTGAGGAACTGAAATAAACTCGGTCATATATATCCTCATAGTGGATCGATCGGTCGGGTGGTGACATCCAGAACTAGCTGTTCACGTGATAAAGGAGGACCATCACCCATAACGACTGATAGTTAGTGCCCTGATGACGGCTTGCTATTACATTTACCCCTGTTTACTGAAGTACCCGTCCATCATTGAACAGCAGGGCATGATGGGCAGAGCTAGAGGAGTCAGTGGAGGTAAGCTGGCGCAGCGCGTCAAAGACAGGGTGCTGTATTACTTCTACACTATGTTCCCGGAAGTGTTGGTTGTGCACCCTCCTTTGCACGATATACAATTATTGCAAGTGGTGCTGCACTGAGCTGACTGGTCATTTATTTTATTAAAGTTAAGCCACGCTTTTGATCGTGGCCACTCACTGTCCAGTGTTTCCCCTACCATTATACAAGCGGGGCTTCTCGCCCCGTCAACCGTGCACCCTGCCTGAAAACCAAACTGTGCACACTCACCTGTCAGCACTGACATAGCGCAAAGCTAGCTACACAAAATACAGGCGCACTAGCTAGAAAGCTAAAGGCAGCGCTCACGCTGCCTCTTCCCTCATGCTGAACCCTCACCTGAACGCCCCCTTCCACCGCCCCACTAAAAAACTCTCGGTACAAATGATGTGCACCTCAGATGTGTGTCTCGACAAAAAACACGGACGAGATGAGCGTCCCGCCATGGCAAGTTATCTAGGGGAAAGGAAACACTGCTGTCCATGGATGCACGCACACTTCATGTGGATTCCTCTTCGTTGGTGTTCACCGGGTGGCGGCTTCTTCCGGTCAGCGGACTAGGCATCGAAAGTAGGAATCGAAAATAAAATATTTGAAGGATTCCGGGAAAACCAGAATGTTAGCCCTGGTTCCAATCAATTCTCGAGACTGGATGCACAACCATAACCTCCACCTCTCCAGGTTCTCTTCCACCTGTTCCCACCACAGATCACAGTCATAGTCATCTGCAAACGTCGTAGTCCACAGGGATTCCTGCCTGGCCTCATCTGTTAGTCGCTCCATCACCAGAGCAAACAAGAAGGGGCTCAGAACCTATCCTTGATGCTCTCCCACCTCCACCGTGAAGCCAACTGTCACTCCTACAGCACATCTCACCACTGTCCTGCTGTCCTCATACATGTCCATATGTTAATTATTTCATCAAATGTTTGTTTTAATATTTCTACAAGCAAAACAAACTTCAGTGCTTTGTCTAGTTGATCAGCCTCAATCAATCTATCCAAATAATCAATCCATCCATCCATCAATCATGATGTTTGTGTTCCATTTTTCTTAAGCCAGTTAAGTAGGTGGTTGATCTTGTGGTTCAGGTCCTGAAGCTGATTTATTTAATGATCAGTCTTTATATTTGTGTCTTGCTTCCTGAAGTTGATAGATTGCACGATTCATCTTGATGTTTACGTTTTGGTTCCTGTAGATGACAGTATGTCCGCAGCAAGTGTCTCCGATGTCAACGATCGTCTCTCAGCTCTGGAGCTTCGCGTCCAGCAGCAGGAAGATGAGCTGACTGTCATGAAGGCAGCACTCGCTGACGTACTTCGCCGTCTTGCCGCCTCAGAGGATTCTGCTGCTGCCGCAAGCAAGAAGCCGCATGGATTTAAAGGTGAGCAACGTTTAATGTGACACTAAGTGAGGGTTTCATTAAAACTTTTAAGTGCTTAACTATAAAAAATTTAAATAAATCAATGACCTGAATGATTAAATTGACCTTTTAGAGACTAAATGAAGGTTGAATTGTTGCTATGGTTACAATAAGATGCAAACATATTTTGTATTTATCTTGTTGCTTTAGAGCAGGGGTGCCCAACCTATTTTCCTCAAAGACCCCCCTTCTTACTTCCGAGCCAATCTGAGACCCCCCCCCAATCCCTCGTTACTCCCCTCTCTCAAAAGACTCGTTCAGATAAATCTCTTTATCAAAGTGATAAAAGAATAAAGTAAATGTTATAGTTAATATTATTAGTAATAGTAGTTAAATATAAAGTAAATAATAAAAGAATAAAGTAAATAGTTACAAACTTATTTGTAAAAGGTATAAACTGGTAGTTGTACAACAGAAATAACTACAAGAAGACTCTTTCGAGAATTACTCGCATGACTTTTCTTTAAAAATTAACAACAGAGTAATTTAAAAAAGTCTTTAAAAAATAGTCGTTTTGTCAAGATATCTTCCTGATCCTATCCTGCAGCTGATTTTTGCAATTTTCAGCTATTTTATCTATTATGTTCTTGACAATATGACAATAAATAATAATAAATGACAATAAAGAAGCTCTGACAGTGTTCGAGAGCGGGACAGTTTTCATTTTATCCACTGCATGAGCCCTGTCACACATCAACTCTACAATTTTCAGGCAGGCGGGTTTCAGAAGTTGTTCTCCGATATTGTGCAGATTTTTAGCCTTAGCGATTAAAAGTGAACACTCAAAATATGATTCTGTAGCTCCGTGCAAATCACTACCTGCTCTTTCAAAGGCTTTTCTCATGTCAACTGCTTGTTCCTGAAAGTATTCCTGACTGTCACCATCACCAATAATAACAATGTCTTTTCTAAACTAGGGAAAAATGTTCTTATGTTGTCAGAAACATGACTCCTCTGTGTGTTTTTACACATTTAAACATTCACAACTGCATGTGTTTACGTTCATGTTATATTTAATAAACATGAGCTTAACCAAGAGCATCGATAACTCCCTGCCTCCTCTCGGGCAGCCATGCTGCCAACTGAGAGCTGGACGCTGAGTACTGACGTCATAACAAAGCCTTTAAGTGACAGTACAGATTTTAGTTTTTAACACTTTATAGAAAACCTTCGAACATGACCAAAATGAGGGTTCTTCTGTGTTAATCAGGATTTGGTGAAATTTCAAACATTATAGCTAAAAATTAAAGCATATTTTCTAAAGTTGTTACACAGACAATAAATTTATATTGTTACAATCTCTAAGCAGACATATGCGACCCCCCTCTGTGCTCTCTAGCCCCCCCCCCCCCCCCCCCCACCCCCCCCCCCCATGGGGGTCGGGCCCCCCAGGTTGGGAATCGCTGCTTTACAGCAGGAGTGCCCAACCTTTTTTGAACCAAGATCTTCTTTTGAAGTTGGCAGCTTGCCAAAATCTACCATAATTGCCGGGCTACAGAGCGCACCTGATTCTAAGCCACACATACTAAATTTAAGATAAATCATAATTTTGCACATAAATAAGATTCTCCGGTTTTTTAGTCGTGGGTATTCACCGTTCATTATTAGAGTCTGTGCCCAGCTTCAGGCATTGTGTGCAGCTCTTGCAGTAAAAGAATCAGCCACTGGATGGCGATTCACTCGTCATGGAGCTTCGCTGTCTGGTTAACTCGTGGTTAAAACCATTCAACCTATGAGATGAACACAAGAACTATCTAAGCATAATCACTGCACAGAACAGTGCCAAACACCTACATAGCCAAAATTATTTAAAAAAAATTATGTACCGGTAAATTTGACCCACAAATCTTATCGAGGTCATGTGACCTGGAGTCAGTACTCGTAAAATATGGTAAATATTCATTAAATTAGTACAATTGATTTTATTGTTAAACACTTCTGGTAACAGCTGCTGTTTTTAAATGTACTATCTAAATAAATTTGACGAGGGGGACGAGCCTCCCGTTCGTTGTCTCCTCCGCTCTGTTTCATGCATTCGGATGCGAGCTGAAATGATACCGGTATTTAAACACATATTTACCGTACACGGAAAGAATTAACAAACTTTTGTACCTGCTGGACTTGACTGCTTAAAAAAAGAAAATTGACGATTTCTGACCAGTGGAGCCACATGACCCAAGAGGAGAGGAACATCCGGTAAATGTTTTATTCTGGGAAAAAAAAAACTTTTAACACGGCTAAAAAAAATTTTTTAAAATACGAGTAGTCGACCAAAAGTCACTTATCTCTATGTTCTTCATCCTCCTGTGAACTAAAGTCCTCTTTGAGGCTCAGAACAACATCATCACACACGTCTCTTTCTTGCAGCTGTTTCCTTCTTCGACAGCCAGATCGATCGCTTTTAACTTGAAAGCTGCATCATAAGAAATTCTCCGTGTGTTTTCCATTATCGCTACAGATGAACAGGTCTGTGCATGTGGCGCAAAATACAGTAAACTGATCTGAAGTCATTAATGCACATCTATCTTGGGGTGTAGGTCCTCGAGAGTACCTCATTAGTCATTACGGTTAGACTTCTGGTCACAGGCTGTTAGGAACTGGAGCCATCATTACAACTGTTCCAGCAAAAATTATACAAAAAAAGTACTCAAAGAACTTGTGAAAGGAGTTTGGACAATATTTGTGCAAGAAGGAGATAGCATAGAGATACAAGCAGCTTTCCATAACTGTGCTGACCGAGAGAGTGCACCTACAACATTTGTGAGAAACTGGGGTAGTCTTTTTGTGTAAGGTTTACAAAATAACACTTCTCTTGGGTTTACAACAGAAATATAAGATTGTCGTCCTCTATCCACCACTGAAAATAAACATCCACTTTTCTGACCGCACCCTTTGTGTTGATTGTGCGTGACGTGCTGCTGTGGGAGGCTGCATGTCACATACAATCGACACAAAGTGCGTCTCTTCTTATCTCCTCTGTCTCCTTATCAAGAGTTTCTCTTTAGAGAATGAAAAGTCCATGTGGAAAAGACAGTCTCAAATCATGTCAGCGAGATCCAACGTGTTAGTCTTGTGAAGTATAACTAGACCTTTAAAAAGGGAGAAGAGAAGGACAACCTGGCAGATCTACAAGTTTTATTATAACACAACATAGACTATTCATGTTAACAATATTGTCTCATCTCATATGTAAATACATATTTCCTAAAATGTCAACATATTGCTCAGTCCTAATAAAATTATCAGTCCTGTAAAATGAACCAACAACTTAATCCAATGTCTCACAAGACTTTTAAAATGTTTTTATGTTTTCTTTAATATTACTTTGGTCTCAGGTGGAAATTATTTTCATGTAGAAACTTCAGAACATTCAGTCTTGTACAGCCGGGGGGGATTTTTCCTCTGGTAGCTGAGCTAGATTTAAGCCAGTCATCTGGTGGTGACAAGTTTTTTTGGGTAAGGAAAATAAATTTGAGGGTGGGGGCAGTGTTGAATAGGTTATACAATTTTTTTCACAATTCGCGCTCGCTCTGCTATTAGGAATTTGGTCATGTGTGCAAATTGGACATGTGTTCAGAACGCATTAGCACATGCCTGCACATCACGGAGCAAACTCATTCATTCATTCAACCTTTATTTACACAGATAAATCACATTGAACCTCGAAGTCACATTTGCAAGTGAGACCTGTTTAGACAGGAAAAAGTAATGAAAGTGACACATGTATAGGATTTGGAGGCAAAAAAAATTCTATCAAACTCACTCCTTGGCTGAGGATAGAGAGCCTGAGATTGAAAAAAAAAAAACCCCTGCACATAGTGACACAGACATTCAGCAGGGGAGGGGAGATGACAAGAGCGGTGAGTGTGTCCAAGGACACTCCAGAAGCACTGTAGGAGTTCTGATAAGAATGGTATAATCAGTCATTTCCCTCTGGTGAGATCCGTAAAAACTCTCGATGGATGCTGAGGTCAACCTAGGACAGCGCCAGAGAGAATCCCAAGAGTCCTGAAATGATGACACAATGTTTATTTAGCCGGGTCCCTCTTACAGGTACGCAGACTTCCTCAGTGGGAGGGGAGGGGCAGAGCATTGAATTTACAGGACCCCCAGATGAATTGAGATAAGGTGGGCTGTCAAGGCCAGCCAGGAAGCCAAATTCAGATAAACCATTTGTTTTGGGAACAGGCAAAACTTAAATGATTCATGTCGGCCTTGAGTCTTTGCTGGTCCTCACAAATCCTAAACGTCTAAATTAAGTGGACACACCGTTGATCCATGCTTGAGAGTATTCCCCCAGGTCTGATCCATCCTGCCAGCGAATGCTAGGGGCCGCAAGTGGCCTGCGATTCTCACAAATCATGTACAATTTGCGGTTCAGTTCGCAAAGTAATTGAGTCTGGGTGCGCGAGGCACGAAGCAAACCATCACATAAGGCAGGCAGCCTGACCAGGGCCAAATTGGCTGCTGATGACTTCCTTGTTCATTGATAAACCAGGAACTCGTCACTTTGTTTGATACACATTTAATAAAATGTTAAACTTAAAATACAGTCTAGGGCAGGGCTATTCAACTGGTGGCCGGAAATGGCCCACGCGTGACTTTAATCCAGCCCAACAATGACTTCATTAAAAAAAATAATTTTTATAGATATATAGAATTTATTTTATTTTTTTTATTTAAAAAAAAATTTGGTGGGGTTTGGGTTCTGTTTATTACATTAACGATTCAATTCAATAAAATAAACAAATTTAAAAGGTAACAGGTCATTGTAATACTTGGTTTATTTATATAATGACTTTAATCTGTGGATGTCCGGCCCCTGAGCTGCTGGCTTTCAGAAACTCGAGCAGTTTAGTTGAATAGCCCTGCTTTATGGAAGCTGGACAGTGAAGTGGGTGAATGGGTGGGGGGGCTGGGTAGTGGTAGTAATGTATTAGCTTTGGTTGGAAGGGTGGTGCGCATCACTTGGATACATGTAACACTCCACTTTTTAGTTTTATAATTTTAGAATAAGTTGAAACAAAATTTTCCCTTATTTTAGTTTTGTTAATCTGCAGTATTTCTTAGAATTATTTATTTTCAGTTTGCACATCAAATTACATTCCAGGCTAAAACCAAGCTAACATGAGTGTTGCCCCCACAGGTGGAGCTGGGCTGCGGGAATCTTACTCCTTGTCCTGCATCGCCAACGGAGGAACATCTGGACGAAAGAGAGACTCCACCTCTGTCACCAGGAAGGAGACGTTGTCGTCTGCTGCCAAGAGGTAAAAACCCCACCCCTGCTCAATTGATGGGATTGATTCATAAGGACACAAAGACGGATCCCTGCATCAGTTTCAGACTGTAGTTTTGATGTGTTTCACAGTTTGTTCTCAGTTTCACAGTCCTCATCAGTCTGACTGAAATATAATCAGCAATTCACCTGTTTGGTCATATGACCTCTCACCTGAACTAGTCACTTAACAGTCTGATAGACTGAAGTAAACAAAAACAATTCCAGCAGTGATACAGTGAAACCCGGGGAAAATGTAAAGCAGTACAGACATTTTTAACACATTTAAAACCGTAGAGTCTACATCTTTTAATGTCTTCAGAAGTATAGCAGAATCGGTGTGGTCGATAGAAACACAACAGGACCTGTATGATTAATATAATCTCATTAAAAACAAAGTTGAGCCAGTAGAATAGTCGTAGGGGAGGGAGACGCATATGAGCTGTGCGCTGTTTGTACCAGCAGTTTTGGAGCGGGGGGAGAGACAGACACAGCTGAGCTGCGTGCTGTTTCACCTTAGAATCTAGCTGTTTTTTTGTTACTTTTCTTTTTTTAGCCATCCTATTTCTTAAAAAAATAATAATAATCTGTATGACTTTTTATAACTTTATTGTTGTCGCTGTTGTTCATTGTTGTCATCATTCTTTGCTGAAATCAGGTCTCTCTTGTAAATGAGTTCTAGAGGCTCAATGGGATTTACCTGTCTAAATAAAGGTTGAATGAATGTTTGCAGTTTTCGAGCGGGGCTGGGTGGTTCAGCGTGAGGAAAAGGGCAGCATGAGCACTGCCTTTAGCTTTTTAGCTAGTGCGCCTGTATTGCGTTACGCCAGTGGTGGCGGTGGGGAGGGGGTGCGCGCCGTTCGGTAGGCGTGGCACTTGGTTCATTTAATGGTGCGAGGCACCCCACTTGTGTAATGGTAGAGGAAACACTGGCGAATCATTTGGCCAATCATAATCAAGACTATAGGGAAATCTTTCCCAAGGACGAAGGGAACTGTTTGGTCTAAGTTATAACTAGTCACTTCTACTGTTGGACACTGATAGTTTTCAGGTAAGTCTCGTTAACTGCCAATGATATAATATGCTGTGTAAGTTGAGCTCGATTTGGCAAAAAATTAATCCTACTTTTACAACGTTGTGTCGTAATCTGTTACCTTTTCCGACATAACGTATTCGTTCACAAAGAAAGAGAAACTGCGCCGACTGAAATAATGTTTTATAATAAAAGTGGGGGGGGGTCCAAATGAACGTTTTTTTAATGTGGGGGGGACACGTCCCCTTCACATATAATGGTTGTGACGCCTACGGCTGACATCCTTGCTAGCATTACATGGTGACAGGCTTTCCGTTATAGATAACATTCCACTTGATTAATAGGAGAACACTAAAACTCCACTCCAGGTTTTCCTGGTTACCGCCTCCAACCTGCAGTGTGTCTGGTCTGTGTCTCCTGCCTTGGCAGAAAACATGCACAGGTGCAGGATGTGGAGGTACCTCTGTGTTGCTCGCTCGCCAGTTTAGCAGCTTAGTGCTGGCAGTTGTTGACCGGGGGGGTTGATCATAAACATGTATACATGGTTAGGAGGATGTTTAAAAGAAATGGAATGCTACGTCTGTAGCATCTTAGCTTAGCAGTAACTGTGACGCTGTCAGATGCTGCAAATGTAAGAGACGCTGTGTGTTCAGGTGCATTAAAGTTGAAATATCTTTAAAACCCCACAACTTATTGTCCTCAAGATTTGTGAGAAACATCATTTAGATGAGTAGTGGTGAACACAAGTAAAAATGTCCAGTAGTGATGTTTTTTTATTTCTCTGTAAACACAAATGGTGCAGATCTGACGTGCATGAAAGTTAAAATGTCTTTAAAACAGCTGCATTTACACAAACTTGGTGAGAAACATGCTTTAAGTGGAATTAAAGAAAGACAATCTAGATAAAATGTTGCTTTTTTGTAAACTAGTGTACAATTTTTTGCATACTGGTGCGTGTATAAGCGCACACGTGCGCGCGCACGCACACACACTAGTGTCCCCCCCACATTACAGATGCTTCTGGAGCCCATGATGTCAGGTATCATCAGTGAATTGTGCGTTAACGTTAGCCTACAATGTCACTCTGTTTAATGCAAATAGTTTTGGGAAGGCTATGTTTAATGCATCTGTATTGCTGTCTGATAAGAATGTGTCAAAATGGAAACTAACACGTAGCGTTACTGCCAATGAAACGCGACACACCAGTGTTTTGTTTAAGTGATTGAAACACTTGCTCTGGTGGCAGCTGGAGCAAGAGTGTGGCATGAAAGAGGCACATGGCCAAGCAGTGGAAATGGGCACAGACCACCCCCACGGGCGCTAGGTTTGTCACCATCAGTGTATGAATGTGATAAAGCACTGATTAATCTTTGTATAGATCTAGTAGAATTCATATGTCCAGTAGAAACAATGTAAACAACAAACTAATGCGTAGAAACACAGTAGAACACACTAGAAAAGACTGATGTTTGGGATACTGTTTAAAATACTGTATTATTTTACGTTATTAGTGTTTAGCGTCTATCTTAGATCTTTTAGTGTACCGTTTGACATTCGTTTAGTGTATATCTTAGTGTATAACTTGGATCCTTATATACTGTTTCTTTTTATGCTTTATATTTTTGCTATTTTTTGGTGTAACTGGGACCTTGAGTACATAATTACGTTCCACCTCATGTACCACATGTGATGTGAATGACAATAAACTTGACTTGAACTTGAACTATAATGAGCAGAAACACAGTAGAGCAGTCAAAATATGATTAAGAACTGTGGAAATGATAAAGAAAAACAGTTTAAACACATTTTTAATTGTGATATTATGATAAGCAGAAACCCAGTAGAACATATTAGAGCCTGAGTAAAACCTGGTTTTGCTGGAGGTTTCTTGTTATGAGGGAGTTTTTCCTTTCCACTGTTGCCTTTGTGCTTGCTCAGGATGGGCGACTGCGATGAAATGAAGACTCAACACCATCTGCTGGCTACCCTACCTTAATAATGTTACTAATTGAATTTTTATGTATATGGATGTTTCTGTTCAGTGCCTTGACATGACTTCTCTTGTGACTTGGTGCCATATAAATAAACTGAATTGAACTGGAACATAGTAAGATCCCAGTGGAACCTGAGTAGAGGCAGTGGTTTGTGGACTCACATCCTGGTTCTGTTCACAGCCCCCATGCAGACAGGAAGAAGGAGCTCAGCAGTCACCGGTCTCAAATGGAGGAGATCCATGAGGGCGAGGAAGCCCCTCCCCCTAAGGACCAGTCTCCCCCTCCCTTCTCTCCCCTCCCATCCAACCCCCAACAGAAACCAGCCTCGCCCTCTGACAGCTGCAAAGGCCACGCGCCTCTTAAAAGGTTCCAGTTTCTGATTTGTTAGCTGCTTCTGACTTCCCTTCCTGCTGATGCTGGTCTGACCTCTTTTTAACAACCTGCCTTCTGAGGACTCTTGGGTCCTGCTCCTCCTACATCTGAGCCTGCTGATCACCTCGGGGTCAGGTGTTTCTGATCAGCCAGTCAGATGTCAGAGGAACACGCGGGACTGTTTGGTTAAGCCGTTTTCAAACGTACACAGCAGCATCGAAAGATTTCCTACTAACTTTCTTTTACTCCTCCCACAAATTAACAAGCTTTGATCACCTGATGGTTATGATGGTTACCTGGTTAACGACAGTTAATTCTCAGGTGCTTTCATGATGAGTGAGCCTAAATCAGCTATTCTTTGTTTTTATTAATAACCAACTAGCCAACCACTAATTCTAACAAAAAAAAAGATTTCAATACTGAGCACGAGTCTAAACAAGGTTTAAAGAAACACTGAAAAAGTCCTTTAACTGGGAACTCTGGGATTTGTCCACAAATTTAACTGACTGGCTTCTCTCTCGTCTGAGTCATCACAAATCTCTTCTTACCTTATGGATTTCAACAGTATGACCTAGTTTCTCTACAAAAATGTGTGACCTTTAAACTCGTGGAGTCAAACTCATTTTCAAAATGGACCAAAGTAAAAATAAAATATAAACAAACCTTTTAATTTCTTGACCTCGGTCTCTGCTTGTTATTTACGTGTGAAAGCGGCTTTTGGTTTTTCGGTCATCTCAGACCTCCTTGGATCTCAGGATTCTTCAGTTTGCTTGTTTTAACTGCTCTTTGCTCAACAGACATAACACTAAAGCTGTTTGAGATTTATCTTAACTAACATGTTCATGACCCTATGACTTACGCCGTGTAACTCCTCCTAGCAACGCCTCCTTCCTTTATCCTCCTTCTGCGCCCTCGTCTCTGTAGCAGCTTCTCCTCTTGCAATGATGCTGTGTTTGTGTGATTAGGGGTCCCAGCGTGAAGCGATCTTCGGGTGTTGAGCGGTCTCAGAGCGCAAACTGGGACTCCTCGGAGGAAAACAGGAGAAAACTGGTGAAAGCTGCATCCACCTCCAAACTGCTGACAAAGATGGTGAAGAAACCAGAGAGGTATGACAACCAGACCAGCACATCAAAACACACCTGTCTGTGCACAACACCTGACAAACACCTAAAAACACTTGTGTAACACTTATGTAACACTTCTGTCATACAAACCTAGAGCTGGACAATAATTCGATATCGATATATCTCGCGATATACTTTCATTCAATAACGATATGAGTTTTAAGCACATTTTCGATATTCCGATAGGATTACAACGTTTCACTGACACTTTTCTTTTTCTGTTCGGGTTGAAGCGGCCACTTCAGTTTCAACCCGGACAGAAAAAGGTGCGACACAACTACGTAAGTGCGTGGTGACGTAATGTTACGCAGAGCTCGAGTCCAGAAGGCTAAGCTAGGCTAATCTCCAATGCACGTTAAGTTTTCTCTTCAAAATGAGTGCCCATGACCGTCAGAATGTGACTGAACAAGCTTTCACAAGCGAAGAGAAAGCAGATGACATCACTGATGAGAGGAAAGACTAATTCGCTGGTTTGGAAGTGGTTCGGCTTTCTAGGATCCGATAAACTGCAGGTTTCAGTCAGTGTGCTGCAAAATGTGACGGAGAGTCGTTCTAACTCGCGGTGGGAACATCGAACTTGTTCCACTTGACAGAAGATGATGAGTCACAAGATGAAGCACAATAAAAGTTTGAGCCAACGTGTCCCTGAAACACCCCCAGCGCTGCAAGTTTGTTTTGTTTTTGTTTTTCTCATTTATTCATTCATTTAAAATAAAACAAATTCATCAGAAGAAAAAAAAAACATTGAATGAAAAGGTTGCAGAAAGATGAAAAAAAATATTATCTGCCCCTAATTTAAAAAATACAAAATAATTACAAACAAACAACAACCTTGACTTGAACAATCTCCAAACTGAAAACAGAAAAACTTCAGGTATCCTTCACCTGGTACTAAACCTTCCCAACAACTTTAACTATCATCTTTTTAAACATATAAATTGTTTTAGAAATGTTTATGGTGATATCAAGACAATTCCATAATCCTGTTCCCTGAATTACAACACGGCTCCTTCACACTAGTTCTAAATGGAGGTTTTACAAACATTTCCATTCCATTAAGGTTATATTGTCTCTCCTTTTTTTTTTTTTTTTTACAAATTTTAATTGAATATTTGAGGCTAATATTTTTATGAGCTTTATACATGACTTGTAAAAAATTATATTCAACCAAATCATAACATTTTGATAATTTCAACTGATGACATAATATATTTGTTGGGTGACCATAGCACTTCCTACTAATAATTCTTATAGCTCTTTTTTGTTAAATGAAAATAGGGTTTGTAATTGTTTTACATGCTTTCCCCCAAACTTCATTACAATAGATTAAATATGGAACAATCATTACATTCTACAATATTTACAAAGCTTTGTCATTCAAAAACTATTTTACTTTATACACTAATGCAATTGATTGTTATTTTTATTTTTAAGTATTTTACATGAGATTTCCACGTCAGCTTTTCATCAATAACGACGCCCAAAAATTTTATTTCATTAACGACGCATTTCAGTGCTGTCAATTTTAAAGTTGTTGTTTAAAGTTAAAACTATTAATATTGACAAAGTTGAGAATTTTATGTTTATTTGACAGTGATTTCAAATTTTTGAAGGTTAAATACAAATAAAAGGTGAACATTAATTTATTTGTGTATTTTGTAGTTTTTCTGAGGTTTTTATATTGTTTATATCGATATCGAATTGTATCGTTATCGACCGAAATTAAGAAATATATCGTGATAAAAGTTTTGGCCATATCGTCTAGCCCTATACAAACCTATAAAACACTTGTAACACACACCTTTTAAACACTTGTAACACACTCCTGTATCACCAACACACACCTGTGACACACACCTACAAAACATTCCTGTGACATGGGTCAGTAAAACACTCTTATAACTCAAGCCTGTATAATCTTTACCTGTAACAAACACTTCTGTGAAGACCCCTCTAAAACATGCCTGCATGCTGCAGTCCTGTAACTCACATCTGTAACACACACTTGTAATTAACTCTTATTAACCACTCACCTGTAAAGCACCCATTTAAAAAACGTATGCAGTCCTGTAACACGCCTATACCACATTCATGTACAGTAGCACACTTGTCTGTAACACACTCCTGTACTAACACCTGTATAACACTCTTGTTACACAGATCCGTAACAAAATTCTGTAACATACCTGTCTATTTAAACATGTCTAAAGCACACGCTTGGCCTGTAATAACATAATAATAATGTTATGGTAATGTAATATAGTCCTGCAATCAAAGCATGCCAGTAACACACTTCTGTACACACTCTTGTAACACATTACTATAACACAATGGCTTGAAACACTTGTCTCTAGCAAGCACCTGCAACAATATATATATATTTTTAATATACCTGTAACACACACGTTAGCCCACACCTGTAACAGACGTTTGTAACACATGTATGTAAAACACTAATGTTACATAGGCCTGTAACACAATTTTTTAAATACAGGTCAGTAACATAATTCTGTAAAACACCTGTAACACTAATACACTCCTGTAATAAACTTGTAACATTAACACACTCCTGCAATACACATGTAAAACTATTACACTCCTGTAATACACATGTAACATTAACACACTCCTGTAATATACATGCAACACTAACACACTCCTGTAATATACATGCAACACTAACACACTCCTGTAATACACATGTAACACTAACACACTCCT